CCCCTAACACTGTGGTTGAAAGGATAATAGAGACCCCCTACACTGTGGTTGAAAGGATATCTGATACCCCCGACACTGTGGTTGAAACGGGATATCAGATACCCCGACACTGTGGTTGAAAGGATTACAGATACCCCTAACACTGTGGTTGAAAGGTTAATAGATACCCCTAACACAGTGGTTGAAAGGATATCAGAAACTCCCAACACTGCGGTTAAAAGGATTACAGATACCCCTAACACTGTGGTTGAAAGGTTGATAGATACTCCTAACACAGTGGTTGAAAGGATATCAAATACCCCCGACACTGTGGTTGAACGGATTACAGATACCCCTAACACTGTGGTTGAAAGGTTAATAGATACCCCTAACACAGTGGTTGAAAGGATATCAGATACCCCCAATACTGTGGTTGAAAGGTTAATAGATACCCGTAACACTGTGGTTGAAAGGATAACAGATACCCCTAACACTGAGATTGAAAGGATATCAGATACCCCTAACACTGTGGTTGAAAGGATAACAGATACCCCTAACACTGTGGTTGAAAGGATATCAGATAACCCCGACACTGTGGTTGAAAGGATATCAGATACCCCGACACTGTGGTTGAAAGGATTACAGATACCCCTAACACTGTGGTTGAAAGGTTAATAGATACCCCTAACACAGTGGTTGAAAGGATATCAGAAACTCCCAACACTGCGGTTAAAAGGATTACAGATACCCCTAACACTGTGGTTGAAAGGTTGATAGGTACTCCTAACACAGTGGTTGAAAGGATATCAAATACCCCCGACACTGTGGTTGAACGGATTACAGATACCCCTAACACTGTGGTTGAAAGGTTAATAGATACCCCTAACACAGTGGTTGAAAGGATATCAAATAACCTCGACACTGTGGTTGAAAGGATTACAGATACCCCTAACACTGAGATTGAAAGGATATCAGATACCCCTAACACTGTGGTTGAAAGGATATCAGATACCCCTAACACTGTGGTTGAAAGGATAATAGATACCCCTAACACTGAGATTGAATGGATATCAGATACCCCTAACACTGTGGTTGAAAGGATATCAGATACCCCTAACACTGAGATTGAAAGGATATCAGATACCCCTAACACTGAGATTGAAAGGATATCAGATACCCGTAACACTGTGGTTGAAAGGATATCAAATACCCCCGACACCGTGGTTGAAAGGATTACAGATACCCCTAACACTGAGATTGAAAGGATATCAGATACCCGTAACACTGTGGTTGAAAGAATATCAGATACCCCTAACACTGAGATTGAAAGGATATCAGATATCCCTAATACTGTGGTTGAAAGGATATCAGATACCCCTAACACTGTGGCTGAAAGGATAATAGATACCCCTAATACTGAGATTGAATGGATATCAGATACCCCTAACACTGTGGTTGAAAGGATATCAGATACCCCTAACACTGAGATTGAAAGGATATCAGATACCCGTAACACTGTGGTTGAAAGGATATCAGATACCCCTAACACTGTGGTTGAAAGGATAATAGATACCCCTAACATTGAGATTGAATGGATATCAGATACCCCTAACACTGTGGTTGAAAGGATATCAGATACCCCTAACACTGTGGTTGAATGGATAACAGATTCTCCTAACACTGTGGTTGAAAGGATATCAGAAACTCCCAACACTGCGGTTAAAAGGATTACAGATACCCCTAACACTGTGGTTGAAAGGTTGATAGGTACTCCTAACACAGTGGTTGAAAGGATATCAAATACCCCCGACACTGTGGTTGAACGGATTACAGATACCCCTAACACTGTGGTTGAAAGGTTAATAGATACCCCTAACACAGTGGTTGAAAGGATATCAAATAACCTCGACACTGTGGTTGAAAGGATTACAGATACCCCTAACACTGAGATTGAAAGGATATCAGATACCCCTAACACTGTGGTTGAAAGGATATCAGATACCCCTAACACTGTGGTTGAAAGGATAATAGATACCCCTAACACTGAGATTGAATGGATATCAGATACCCCTAACACTGTGGTTGAAAGGATATCAGATACCCCTAACACTGAGATTGAAAGGATATCAGATACCCCTAACACTGAGATTGAAAGGATATCAGATACCCGTAACACTGTGGTTGAAAGGATATCAAATACCCCCGACACCGTGGTTGAAAGGATTACAGATACCCCTAACACTGAGATTGAAAGGATATCAGATACCCGTAACACTGTGGTTGAAAGAATATCAGATACCCCTAACACTGAGATTGAAAGGATATCAGATATCCCTAATACTGTGGTTGAAAGGATATCAGATACCCCTAACACTGTGGCTGAAAGGATATCAGATACCCCTAACACTGTGGTTGAATGGATAACAGATTCTCCTAACACTGTGGTTGAAAGGATATCAGATACTCCTAATACTGTTGTTGAAATGATAACAGATACCTCTAACACTGTGGTAGAATGGATAACAGATACTCCTAACACTGTGGTTGAAAGAGTGACAAAAACCATTGACACAGTCATAACTTAACCCTCATACATAACAGTGTATCGAAACTCCCTCCAGTATACAAATGACATGCTAATGACTAAAAGGGAGGTTCAGATGACGTCAAAGGAAAGCTTGACGCTGATGAATTAAATGCAACACTACTGTATTTGATCGCCAGAGCAATGTTCGTATTAAAGAGGGTAGAGAGTGTGACGCAATCAAGAGTAATATCTAAAACCTCACTTTGTTGAAAAACGTTTTTTCTATTGTTTGTTTGTTTTTCTATTTGTGAGGTTTCGTGTATTCCTAAAAACGTATTTCAATTTGATAGCGGTCAGACACGACCTTACCAGGGCTAAGTCGTTTTACTTCTGGCTAATGATAAAGTTTTCCCCTTTAATTAGGCCAGTGTTTTGTTGAGAGTCCACAGTGACTATGTATATAACGTGTTGCTATATAATGGCGTGTGTATGATCATATCCTCAAGATTCGTAACCCGTGAGTGGGCTGGGTACTATTCCGTCAGTCGTTAAATAGATATGTATCAGTTGAGTGGGGTGTATACCATCAGGATTTCAGTACTAGCTACTCCCCAATGTCGTGTGTAATATAATTGTTTTTAAAGTATCAGAATATTGTAGGGAATTTAATGGTCGTATCTGTTGTTACGTTACTACACTGTATGTATCACATATTTGGGGTATGATTTAATATGTTTTCCTTAATGATCAACGTCTTACTTCTATAGGCCTAGTTTGGTTGTCAGGTTCCGTTCACATGATAGATATAAAAAATGCCTGTTATAGTGCATATATTTTTACATTCTAAACATCGCAGTTTTGTAAACCAGCAAGTATATCAGATCAGCCTAATTTTAATCACTAATATGAGATAGTCAGGAAAGACAAAACATAGCACCTAACCTGCTGGGTCCTATATCTGTGTACAAAACAAACAAAAAAGGTTTTCTATACATCTACCCAACCAATAATCGAATAACTACAAAATGAAATGAAGAATTAAGAATAAGTAAAAGTCATCCTTTGTACTTTTTCTTTCTGTGGAAATGAAACGAAGTGAGTGTTTGTATCTTCCTGCCAACTTCCCTGGTATAAAGACATACAGTGAATCCTATACCGACAACACATATTATTTTACATAGCCTTTCACGAGTTTCTGGAGTGATGCACTGTACTTCTACTGAACTGCTCTGCACATCTACCTGCTACATGGTTGTTAGAGGCAACTTATCTTGGGAACTTTACATTTCTCACCTTGCTAAAGATCTTTATTCTTCCTAATGTCTCCTATTTACATTGCCTCACTCTTGATGAAACTTGCTTTTAAACAAATGTTATCAGATTTAATGGTCACTGTCAAGAAATTTGGATAGAAGATATCTTTGTATGGCAATTATATCGAAAATACCGTGTGTTTACAAACGAAAACACGTGATTCGCGAGTCTGTAAGATGTATTGTATCGTGAACATCATTTCATCACTTACCGTAGTGCTGAATAACACAAACCTTGAATAATACAAACAGCTTTGTGATATATCTTTATAAATTTTGTCAGCCAACACAATTCTGCCATTTCACACTTAGGACCCCTTTCTACTTTCACAATCTATATATCAACATGTCCGAAAAGTATGTAACAATACATACGTTCAAATGCCCTGAAGTAATTCATTTTCTTAAAAGAAAAAATCAGACAATTCACACTAGGTGAAAATGTCTGCAATACACACAGAGCTGTGTCTTCCTAAAAGACATAAGAAACGTATCAAATAACATGTCACTACTTAGCACTCCAAACATTTGAAGACCTATGTACACTGATCTCCCGTTTCTAGGGGCATGTTCCAAAACAGTGACTCTATAATGGAAGTATTTTACCATATCATAAAAGCTATTTTGATGTGTATACATATATATATTTTTTTCAAAATAAAACAAAACCACATTTTTTGATAGTTATGTATCAGTGATAAAATATAAAATTTATTGGAAAAATGCGTTTTTCAATGCATCAGTAAGTATCACAGGAATGCAAAAAAAAGAATATCAATGGTGTATTATACGTTATAAAATCCAATAAGATTAAGAAAAAACCAAAACAAACAAAAAGCCAAAACACAGGGTTTTAAGATATCATTTACCGAGGGAATATGTCAGTTTATCTGACGTTCTTTCTACTGCAAGTGCCAAAGCCCTACACTATATAGCCAATACACTTAATCTGCCCCTTTCTCTGGATCAATATACTATTTCACCATTAACCTGGTATTAAACTGAGCCTATTAAACTGGCATTTATCCATCTATCGACCCTGCTGGCCGGTGACCACACTATGAAATTGTATAATGTCTACTGTATATTTTTTCATGTCATTTATAATAGTGAAATAAATATATCTATATCACCTTAAAAAAAAAAAAAACGAAAAAACGAAAAATTATAGAATATCTCACCTCCATCCTCGAAATCCTTAGCTATGTTACGTTTTGGTCTAGAAAGAGGTAGGTCGTTTATCCATGCCACCACACTGGCTATCTCGGTCTCATCCACATAGTCCTCCATACCAATGGTGTTCATCCCGTTAAGGTTCTTCCTCAATGTAATTGTCGTCATAATTTAACAAGAAAGGTGAATAGTACTGAACACATCCCAATAGGCAGAATACCATTCATTCATTACATCCTAGAGCTTAACCTCTACGCACACTTAGGCCTACTGTATATGCTTTACTATCCAGGTAAGGAAGTGTCAACCCAACCTTATTAAAGCAAGCAGGTGCCCGTTCGTTTGTTGTCGTATAGTAACAGTTGTACTCGACACGCGAAAGTTATTCGTTTGAGAGACCCTGGACGAAAATGAAAGTACAATGTAAACAGAGTAAAAAAAAACATCAATTAAATAATTTACCTTTCCGGACTTCGTTCTTGTTTACTTTTTTAAAAACATTTGTTACATTATTATTCATCAAAAATTTGGTTATCATCAATAGTTTTCTATTTCAAATCGATAAAAGATATTTTCACTTACGGGTGTGTGCGAATAAAGGGAGGTAACTACAATTACGCGTTTCGCGGATTTCTGGTTGTCATTTTCACAACGGTCAAAATTAGTCTGTCGTATCTGCACTCATTTTCATCACTATTTTACACCATGTTTTTAGAAAACAAAAACAAACAATTAGGATGGTGGGTCTACAACAATGGAAGATTCAACATCTACCAATTCAAGTACGTAAAACAATATTGATAATTTAGAAAGTCAATTGAATATTTCAAATTTAGATCATTGATATTGAAAAAAAAAACTGTAATTGTAACTATAGATACAACTAATATCAATAGTCATCAGTGTTTTTATCAGAAAAAAAGATAAAACGAATAAATAAATTAGTATTTTTCTGTCTTTTGATTTGTAAATGTCATGACCGAACATTTTGAGAACAAATTATAAACAAAATGAAATCCAGCGGTTTGATAAATGTCAGAAGGAGGCTTGGTCTACATAGGAATGCTCGGTTGTGCTGTAAATCAACACGAATCTCAATTCTAGGCAGTACTCCTTTTTGTTTTTAATTCCCATCTGATCAAAGGTTATGTAATATCAAGAGATTTTAGCTTGCGTGTTTTACAATTTGAACAGGTCAAGTTTTATTAATAACAGAGAGTGATATAATTTACAATCAACAGGCACATCAACCTAGTAGTTGTTAAATTTAATAAGATTTTGATAGGAATATTTTTCTTTGGTTTCATGCAGATCTGAAAGAAATCCCGAACTGTAAACATATGTATAAACGCGCATTCATTCAGTTTGCTGTTCGGTTATCTTTTTAAGACCTACATGAAACTAGAAATTATTCCTATCAAAGATTACAATAAATTTCTTAAATTCGTTTTTAAAGCAAAAACACGACACACAAATGGGCCAATTTCATAATTAAATGATGTTTATATATTAACAAATTATGCATAAGACGTGACGTCATTGACAGTATTCGCGCCACTTTCAGTCATTCGAACTTCACTAATGAGTGCGCCTGTCACTTCCCAAACGAAGATGTAAAGTAATGGAATGACGAATTTAACATCAATATCTTGTGATCGCTACACTACGAGCATGGAGTAGCCAGTGATGAAATAATTGTAGTGATAGGTGGTTTATTGGTCATGCAAGATAAAACGTGTAACACAGGTGTCAGTGGAGGGAAGTAAATAAACAGGAATTTCATTCATGTAAAAATGAGACCGAAGAGACCAGGCGCAAGGTGGCAACAACAATGACAACTGTTTTAATCTCATAAGCATTAAAGTAAAGAGAATAGGCTACATATAAACTACATGGTTGGACAGGATAGCAAACGTATTGTGAAGTGATTATCTCATTGATATCCGTAATGAATTTAATTGAATTAAACATATTTTATTGTAAATTATTTACGAAAGCATCAGGTACAAGATATTTCAATTTAGTCAATGACACCAACTCACATTGTGTCACATAGTTGTATAAAGTATAAAACTTAAATGCAATTTGGCCTTGTATAGCAATACCTGGACAGGTAATGTTTTAAACTATTTTAAATATTGTCTGTTGAGAACCATTAAACAATAATGAAATATTTGTCGCCAATTATTCTTAGATTACAAAAAATACATAATCTTTATAGGAAAGAATATCCTCTTGGCAAGCTGAATGAATGCGCTTTGCTGTCATTGACGCCTCCTATCATTAACAAGTGGGCGGAGCTAGATTTGCTACGTCAAGAAATGAAAAGAAAAAATAAACGAATCAGAATGCTTCATTTTGCATACAAACAACGAAAATTTGATTATTTTGACATGCACCTGACCAATACACATGTGTGCACATATCCTTGAATTCTTTCTAAAATCAAATGTTCGAAGTACACAATCATAATTTAAATTTTCATTTACTGCATACGGAAGTTAATTACACGGATGATCACCGATTCACAATTTTACCTGCTGTTATATAACAGTGTGTCATTATTGTCTATAATTACAAACATCATCATTTCTTTGTTCAGAAGAGTGCAGTTGAAGGGAAGTAACTATTTTAGTCATATGTATGATATACATTGAGTTGCGAGCGGAATGCTCACTTGCTCTCAAATTATAAACAAAACTTAGTTTTCAAAGACATTTCACATCCACAGGTAATAGTAACACAGTGGAGACTCTGGCTTATACGGGAGGTTCCCGATTTGCCCACCTTTTTATAAGACAAAGAAAGATGACGTTTTGGGCCAAATTGAATTGATAGAATCTTCACATAACAAACTGGGTCATAAATTGTATCAGATAACTAATAATTACAATACACAGTTGTCTTATTGTATCAAACATGTCTTCGAAGAATGTGATTTACTGAATATCTTTGAATCCCATGAAGTCATTGATATACCTTCCCTGAAAAAATTCTCTTCCATACTCTTAAAATGATTTTTTATTTATAGTTGGAAAAACAATGTTTTCAATTCCTCAAGAGGGACGAATCATAGACTTTATAGATACGAAATGGTTCTAGAGAAATATTTGCTGGATCTCCCCCCGAGATTGTCTAAGGTCAATTGTAAATTTAGAACTTGTGATATCGAATAAGCTGTTGAAATCGGCAGATGGAATAATATACCTAGAGAAAAATAGAATTTGTAACCCTTGTAATATTCACGAAATAGGAGGTGAGTTCCATTATTTATTTAATTGTAGTGACCAACAAATATTAGTTAATAGAAAGAAATTGATATCCTGATATTATTTTGAAAGACTCCGTACATCTAAATTTAACACTTTATTCAGTGATGTTGCTTATGATGAATTGACATCACCTGTAAAATTTATTAAGATAATTAATGATCGGCTAAACTCGGAGATAATTAATGATCGGCTACATCACCTGTAAAATTTATTAAGATAATTAATGATCGGCTAAACTCGGAGATAATTAATGATCGGCTACATCACCTGTAAAATTTATTAAGATAATTAATGATCGGCTAAACTCGAAGATAATTAATGATCGGCTAAACTCGGAAAACTAATGTCATTTGTATAAATATCATGTTGCTGTGGTATTGCATATGTCCTACTTGTACTTTAATTCTCTATACTACTTTGTTCACGAGATTAAAATCTTTGTCTTTGTCTTGTTTTATGATGACCATGGCAAACCAATTATAGTCCATACTTATCCTGCATTTCACCTGAGCTCATTTATCTGCGTTTTTACCTGTGATATCTGTTACATAAGAGATTATACTATGAATTATTTTTTAAATCAAGTTTTTAACTTATTCTTTTTAAATGAATAAATTGATATGATAATCATCTAATAATAGTGTATTACATGATACACTTTTCATATGATATCACATTAGCTGACTTGAAAAGCATACAATAATATTACATTTTATAATACACATTTCACCTTTGATGCCTTCAAATACATACAATGTACAATGATATTACATTTCAGATACACATTACATATAATTCTTCGTTTGTTGAAATGAAATACATATAATAATGTATTATTTCATTAATACATTAAAGATAATTTTACATTATTCCCTTGATACACATTACGTACAATATAATAACAATGATATAAAATATATAACATACATTATTTTATATACAATACAAGTACAAACACATGATATAGATAGGTATTTTAGCAGTGCAACATATTGCAGACACCTTTTGAGAAATCCATTCCAATTAAAGATGTGATGCCTTCTCTATTATGTCGATCCTCTGAGTCTGTTGTTTACGTAGTACGTGTAACCATCATGGGCAAGAATACGTCTATCATGTTTGTTTTCAAGGAATTTGATAATTTTCAGCCCATTTGCCATTACATAATTGTCTTGGAGGGGTAGTAGTGGGTAGTTGTCCTGGAGTGAGAAGTTTTCCATTAAATAATTGTCTTGGAGGGGTAGAAGTGGGTAGTTGTCCTGGAGTGAGAAGTTGTCCATTACATAATTGTCTTGGAGGGGTAGTTGCCAGAGAGTGAGTGTCTGTCTTGGAGGGGGTAATTGACTGATAGTGAATAGTTGTCTTGGAGAGGGTAGTTGACTGGTAGTGGGTAATAGTGATTAGTTGTCCTTGAATGGGTAGTAGTGGTAAGTTGTCCTGGAGTGGGTAGTAGTGGTTAATTGTCTTGGAGTGGGTAGTAGTGGGTAGTTGTCTTGGAGAGGGTAGTAGTGATTAGTTGTCCTGGAGTTGGTAGTAGTGGTTAGTTGTCCTGGAGTTGGTAGTACTGGTTAGTTGTCCTGGAGTGGGTAGTAGTGGTTAACTGTCCTGGAGTGGGTAGTAGTGGTTAGTTGTCCTGGAGTGGGTAGTAGTGGGTAGTTGTCCTGGAGTTGGTAGTAGTGGTTAGTTGTCTTGGAGTGGGTGGTAGTGGGTAGGTGTCCTGGAGTAGGTAGTAGTGGTTAGTTGTCCTGTAGTCGGTAGTAGTGGTTAGTTGTCTTGGAATGGAAGTAGTGGTTAGTTGTCCTGGAGTGGGTGGTAGTGGTTAGTTGTCCTGGAGTGGGTAGTAGTGGGTAGTTGTCATGGAGTTGGTAGTAGTGGTTAGTTGTTCCGGAGTGGGTA